AGTCGAGTCATCATGATAAAGCCAATATTTTGATCTCTGTCTCTCCGATTCCCACTTGTTCCTAAACTCAGCTAAACAGTGAATGGTTAGCTGTTGGTCCTCCGTCCGCCACTGCTCCCCTTCGTCTCTGGCTCTGCCTCAACAGTTCCGCTCCTGTGGCTTCCCACTCCCTGCCTCCTCCCCTCCTCCCCTCTTCCCCTCCTCCCCTCCTCCCCAGAGCCAGACTTGGCCGAGTGGCCCTCTGGAGATTAGGATTAAAATGGTCAGATCAGTTCAACAAGATCCACGCAAGCAAGCATTTTTTGAGTGCCCTTCACGTGAAAGCAGTCTATTCCTGGGGTTTTAGATGGCACCGCTGTCTTCCTCTCTTTCAGTTTGTTAGGCCGTGGTTTGTAGTCTCCGGCCTGCCTCAGTCTGTGGCCGCGGCACTGAATGTCACAGTGACTCCCCTTTCTCCTTCATAGATCCTAGAACTTCAGAAAGCCATCCTTTGTTACTTAAAATCTCCTTTGCTTTCTCCAGATTTTATCACCAAATGGTTCTAAAAGTCCATTTGCCCTGGTTTCTTTTTTCAAAACAAAGTGTCAGTCATGGAACATTTGGTCTCCAGAGCATTACTTCTGTCCTTTTATCTTGCATTGTAAGGACAAGCATTAATCGTGGTTTCTCTCTTTCATATTTCCAGTTCATTTTCTCTTCCTTCTGTGTTCCTTGTTTCTACTAATGTCTGCTGCTCATCTAGGCCCCAGGTCCCAGGATCTGATGATGCTGTGCTGTTCCTGACAGTTTTACCTCTCAGATCCGTCTCCTCTTTCCAATCCTTGCCACCACCCACACTCTGCCATTGCTTCTTTCTTAAATTTCAGTCCAACAGAAATGCACTGGCACCTCCGTCTTATACGGCGCTAGGGAGACAGAGATGACTAAGGCAGGCTTCTCTGCCTCGTTTCGGTAACCCCATTACCTGATCTTTCCCCCTCTCCTCCATCTAACGAGATACTGCCGTACTCATCTTCATCAGGCCCAGCCCTTCCACTGGCTACAGAATGAAACTCCTTCTGCTAGCATCGGAGGCCCACTGAGATCTCATTGCTCCACCTGTCCTGTGCTCTGGCCAGATTGAACCACTGGCTGTTCTCCCGATAAGCTCGCTCTCTCCTGACTCCATTCTGTTACTTCCTGAGAGTGTCCACTCTTGTCTCCCCAGGGCCACATCCTGCCTTTCAAGATTTGGTTCATAGATCCCCTTCCTCTCCATCAACTAGTGGGGAAAAAAGCATCCTCTCTCCTGAACTCTGTTCCCTTTTGTGACATAAGAGGTCCCCTGGGTGGTGGTTAAGAGCATAGACTCCAGAGCCAGGATGTTTTAGTTTGAATTACAACTCGGCTGATTACTAGCTGTGTGACCTTGGCAAGTTACTTAACCTCTCTGTGCCTCAGTTGCTTCCTATATAAAATGAAACTTGTAATAGTACCCACCTCATGGAGTTTTGAGAATTAAATGGGTAAATATATGTGAAGCGCTTAGCACAGTGAGTAGTGTTAATGCACAGAAGGCTTTATGTAACCATTAGCCATTGTGATGTAAAAGCATGTACATAAGCCTGTGGGTGTTACCTGTTGTGATGTGTTTATTGAGAGCAGGGTCTATATTTGTTCATATCTGTAGCCCAGACATTTACAGGGTAATCTGTGCTGTCTGTTGGGCATATACTGTGGACAGGGTCCTGTACTTGCCCCTATGTAATATTTATAGCAAAAATAAGATTTTAGCCTTTAACTTTTGTCCATACCTTTTCAGTAACCTTTGAAACAGAATACAAAATCATTTACAGTGGGTGCCTGGGTGGCTCAGTCGGTTAAGTGTCTGACTCTTGATTTCTGCTCAGGTCATGATCTCAGGGTCATGAGATTGAGCCCTGTGTCAGGCTCCAAGCTCAGTGACGAGCCTGCTTGAGATTCTCTCTCTCCCTCTGCCCACCCTCCTCCCCCTGCACACGTGCGTGTGCACTCTCTCTAAAAAAATCTTTTAAAAAAGTCATTTACACTGTTTTCTCTCTTCTCTATCCTCAGGAAGCATCTAACTGCATATTAAAGTAATAGGCACGGTGTCAATGGTATTTTGTAATTTTGAACTTGCCCCTTTATGCTGATCAACCAAATAATTAAAAAAAAAAAAATCTTCCTTTGAATTTCTGAACCAGTAAATAAACTTACTACCCATTTTTTTCCTCCTTTTTTCTTGAAGTAAATTGACTAATCCAGACCTATACCTAACTTGGTCTCCTTTAATTGAATCTAGTATTTTGGTAAATTGAGGTCTGTAATAAAATTATCCCTCTGTAACTCATAAAGGAAATAAAATTAAAGTTTGATGAATTTCTATATGCATGTCCTATGAGAATATATTTTTTTGGAATTTATTTGCCAGATAGTTAACCTTTTCAAAACAGTAATAATTTTGTTATTGTGATACTTAATTTGGGGCTATGTCACCAGCAAGCCTTCATTACTTTTGATGAGTATGTTTCAAATGCCCATTATATAGGTGCTGCTGTTTTTAAATTCTCACAGAAAAATAAGAGCTTGAACTCTCTTTCAGGTTGCTCCATCTCCTCATCTGTCGTGTCCTAAACTTCATGTGCCATCTTTGGCCGACACCCAAGCATCTGTCCTTCCACACCTGTGCCTGCCATGTTCGGGACCCTAGGCTCTCCTCTTTCCCTCCTCAGCCAGTCCTCGTCGCCTAATAAATCTTCCTTGGATCCGCTGTGCCTCCTCCCCACTGACCTGGCCTTGGCCCAGAGTCTCTTCGCCTCTTCCCTTAACTGTGACTGAGAGCACCCAGGTTTTGCTTCCACCCATCTGCCCCCATGCAAAATGCAGACTCTGTTTAACGTCCTCAGTGGCTATGTCAGCCGTCCCCGACTTCTGTACCTCAAGGGCTCCTCTCCAATTGATAGTGCAGTATTTGTATGATCGTTGTGTTTTGGGGAAGCCTATTGATACTGGAGAAATAGCTGTTGCAGATTCAGTACAATTTTAAATAAATGTTTACTTATCATAATAGCATCTACATTCCCTTGAAAACCAGAGTAACATATGCTAGACGTTCACTGTGGAGACGCTGACCATGTGTGGGTGGCATGCTGCCCCTCGCAGTGGTGCGAAGCCCCGAGAACTCCATGGCCCGGACGCCCAGTGTGCAGGGAGCACCTGGTGCACTCCTGTTTGCCCTTTCACACTCAGGATGATCCTCGTGCAGACCATATAGCGAACGGTCATTCCAACGGTGACCTGCAGGGGGGCATTTGTAGTAGGTCTTTTCCCACTGTCCTCTGTGGGGAGCATCTCCCTCTCTGCCTGCCTGGCACCTCCCCTGCACGCACTGACCTCTCTCCCCGTGGGTCCCCCTGTCCACTTGCAGACCAACACCATCCAGACAGTTCCTTGTGCCCCCTTTTCTGTGTCGGTGCCCCCGTGATTTGGTGCTTGCCCTCTGCAGGGATCAGAAATAAGCCTTGTTCCAACTGCGGACCCCCAACCCCGCCACAGTGCCTGACATATGGGGGTTTAGTATAGAAGTGAATGAGTGGATGAAGCGCAAGGATTAAGTAAGTCAATGAAATACATGTAAGACATTGAGAGTAAGTGTCTGGTGCAGGCTAAGTGCTCAGCTACTGTCGGCTCCCCTGCTGTGTGCTGGGCACCAGTTTAGGTTTGGGGGAAACAAAGGAAAAAGGACAGAACCCCTGCTTTCCTGAAGCTTCCGTGCTCCTGGGAGGAGCTGGACACCCGTATTTCAGGGAGCGGTGAGGCCTGTAAGGAAAATGAGGCTGGGTGAGAAGAGATGGCCGTGGGGTAGCAGTGCGGTCTGGAGAGCCCCAGCCCCCGTGTCACAAGGCAGAGTAGAAGGGGACTTTGGGTCTCAGAGACCGTTATGTCCTATCCAGCACAGGCACTTAAGAATCAGCGATGGTGGCCCGTGTGGGGGCGAGCGCAGGGGCTGGTCAGGGAAGCTGGCTGTGATAGGAGATCCGGATGGGGAGGAAGCATGTGCACATCTGTTGGAAGAGCACCTGCTGCAAGACCTTCCAGGCTGCAGCAGGGTCAGGAGCACGTGGGGCCGACCCTGACAAAGCAGCCAGTGTCGTTGGGAGTGCGGGGTGGGAGGGTGAGTGTCAGGAAGTAGGTCACACGTGTCGGGTCGGGGTGATCGGGACCTTGTATTTTATTCTCGGTGAGGATGAGGGGCTGGCAGGGCTAGTAGATGGGAGCGGAATGAGTTGAGTCTGTACATTATCTGAGGTCCCTTTTAACTTGGTATTTTGTGTTTCTAAATTTCAGTTACAATGTCCGGAGTGTTTAATTAGGCTCGTTAGCATCACTGTTAATAATAGTGCTGCCACACCTGCCCAGCTCTTAGGAAGATGAGCAGGGCACTCTGACCGGAATAGCTTGAGCTTCGGGGTGCTGCGTTAGCGTAGGTGAGCACCCTCACTAGCTCAGTAACTTTGGAGTTTTCTAACTTAACATCAGGGAAAAGGAAATGTTTCTAAGAGCTCTATTATTGTGAGTCTTGAAGACTGCTTGTCAACATTGGAAAAAACGGCAGCCTGAAACAGCTTTCCACATACATCTCAAGCGCCTCCCGATAGTAGGCCCCCCCACGGTCTCTGTGCGGCACCCAGGGTGTTCTCCTCATGTTTTGCTAGTTCTGTCATCGTGTGCCCTGAGAACCTTCAGGGGCTGCCCTGTCGTTCTCACAGTCGAAGCCCACATCCCTGCTCAGGCCTGACCCCACTCCCTGCTCATGGCCTTCGTATCTGTTGGGTCTGGGGTCTGCTATGCAGAGTTCTCCCACCTCCTAGCCCGGCCAGCTCCTCTAAATGTCATGTCAGTAGGAAAGCTTTCCCTTCCCTTCACGCTCCATGCAGACATTTGTGGTCATTTGCTGCTGCTGTAAAATTTTGTCCCACGCCCCACTTTTTTTTTTTTAGCCATGTCATGTCTGAATATGGAAGGATGACAGACACAGAGCGAGACCAGATTGACCAGGATGCGCAGACGTTCATGAGGACCTGCTCTGAAGCAATTCAGCAGCTGAGAACTCAAGGTGAGGTGCTCTGAGAGGCGCGGCCAGCCCGCCGTGACTGTGAAGTCTCAGACAGGATCCATAGCACGCGCCCAGCTCAAGTTCTCTCCTGTGTTGCTATTTAGATTTTGGTTTCAAAACTTTAAAATTCCTCTTTTCTTGATCAGCTGTGAAAAGTCATGAAAAGGCCGTGATTCAAGTTAAACAGTGGGAGGAGGGAGGTGAGGAGGACCCCTCCACGCACAACCAGACATTTCCTAAGGGCCAGAGCAGACAGATTGTGCGCGCCCCTATGCTCCGTGTGGCATTTAGAGGGTCGGTGGTCAACAGCGTGTGGACAGGGACGGGAGAGGGTGCTCTCAGCCGTCTGCTTGGATAGGAAACTTCGGGAGCAGACCATCACGCTGCAGAGGAGGGAGCCGTGGGTGCTTTGGTGTCCACCCCAGCTCCAGCGCGTTCTACCCATACGGCTTTGGGCAAGGCACTCAGTTGCCGTGCGCCTCAGTTTGTCTATAAAGTGGCGACAGTCACAGGGTGCATCTCTTAGGGCTGTTAGGAGAATTCAGGTGAGTTCAGCACGTGATTAGCGCCCTGGCTGTGGCACGAGGGTCGTTCGCATCACATCGTCTTCACTCATGTCCCATTCTCACCAGGGCAGTGAGACAGCTTCCCCAGTCCTGTATCTTCCTTGACCCTTTCATAATGTGCTTAGGCAGATCCAGGTTCCATTAAATAGCACAGACCTCCAAGTGGCCAGATGCTGCTAAGTTCTTGACACCGACTTGTCTTAAGAAGCTTCCATCATCACAGCCCTGATGGGCTACTCGGAGTCTGATGAAAGCTATAGATGTTCTTGCCAGAGAAATACACATACTCACAGAATTTTGTGTACAGTCCCTCATGTGAATCTCAGGTTAAGCAGCCCAATAGGAAAAACATGATTCATGTCCCCTACCCTTAAGGGCCTAAACATTCATTGAAATAACCTAGAAGTACATGATTATGAATAAAACCAGCAACTAAGTACCAAGCCATGTGACCTTGGGCTTCTTATTGACTCTGAACCTTATTAGTTTCTGTGTGTGTAAACTAGACCTCCAGATTGCCTTTTGCATTAGCAGTCATATATGTAAAGTACCATCGGAGTGCCTGCAGGTGGTAGGCACTCAGTGTCTCTGTAAATGGGAGCTGTCCTACCAAAATAAATGGCACAGACCTGAAGCAGATGTGATAGCTTGCAGAAGCCAGGTATCCTTAGGGCTAGGAGAGTCAGGGAAGGTTTCCTTGAGAAGGAAGGTTTGACTCTGTGTCTAAGGGGCCCTTGGAATGGGAGTAGCTGAGGGGCAAAGACAGAGCATTCCAAGCTGAAAAACAGCCCAGACGGTGGGGGGTAGTGTGAGGCTTGAGTTTGATTTAAACATGTTACTTGAAGGTCAGCTTGAGCATTGGATGCTGTTAATACAAACGGGGTCAGCTCTCAAGAAGTGGGGCGCATCCAGTACGATCCCTGCACGCTGTAATAAACCATAAATTCTTTGACTGTAGTTTTTCTACAGGTTTAATCTTTTACTCTTGCGAAGCCCAATAAATCTTCCTCTTTTAAAAATGTAATGTCACTTGACACAGACTTGTTTTATCGCTGCAGTTTTACAAATACTTTCCATAAAGAAACTGTTCTGAGGAAGCTGATGAGTTGTTGCCCTGTGAAACCGAGCACAGAGACCTGACTGCTGTCCGTTTGTGTTCCAGCGCACAAGGAGATGCCCTCCCAGCAAGTGAAGGAGCACAGGAGCGTGGTTCTGGATTTCATCGAAGATTACTTAAAAAGTATTTCACTTTATCTTAAAGGTCAAATGTGGCATTTCACCATAGACATGATGCCAAATTTAGCTTTGCTAGCTGAAGACTGTAGTGTCTCCTTATACTTAATGACATCCTTTGCCTGCGAAGCGGTTTTAAATGGTCTCTGTTCTGGTGTTTTCCCTACAACAGGAGTATGTAAACTTTACTCAGAACAGAGAGCCATCCGCGTTAAACGAGTGGTGGATAAGAAAAGACTGTAAGTATTGTCTCTGCTGGGGTTCCTTAATTAATAATAGCAATGATAGCAGCTAACGTTTGTAGAGTCCTTACGCTTTGCAACATAGAGTGCTTGGATTTCTTCACAAAATGCTATAGCTAGTACTTACAGAGCCCTGACTGTTGTGCTAGGCACTGTGGTAGATTCGTTGGTAGCTCACCACCACCTACCCTGAGGGGCAGGTACCGTTCTTATCCTCATTTTCCAGATGGGGAGGCTGCCGCTCGCAAAGCTGGGTAACGCCCCCAAGGTCCCACAGCCAGGAGGTGGCAGAGCTGTGCTTCGAGCCCAGGCTGTTTGTTGGTTCAGAATCCATGCTCAGGCCTGTCTTGTGTTAGCGACCCTGTGTGGCTGGCAGTTTTAGCCATCTTACATCTTTCTCTTTGCCCCCCGCACCTCTCCTTGCTGTCTCCCAAAGGATTTTCCTGAGGCAGGAGCTGGAGCATAGCAACCTGTGCTCCCCTGTGAGGCGTCCCTCGGGTCATCTGCAGCGTGCGCCTCCCTTCTAACAGAGCACTCGATGCCACGTGCTGGTTTGCGGGTGAGGCCGTTAAAGCCCCAGGAGGTTAAAGGACTTGCACAAGACCCCACAGCTAGGAAGCAGCAGAGCCAGACTTCGGTTATCTCCCGTGGCACGTGTCTGCTCCCCAGCCTGTCCTCCCCGTCGGGGTGCACGCCAGCTTCTAGAGCACAGGGACTCAAAGCTGCTTCCCTTGCAGCTGCTCAGCCAGCCTGAGATAGGATTCTTAAAATGAGCAGGGAGTGCTAGGTCCAGGCTTCACCTCTGGACCACTTCTAAACTGGCCTTGGAAAGATTTTAGAGTGTTCTTTCAGAAGGTAACAGTACATACTACCTGGGGACAAATTTTCTTAATTCTGATTGTGTCGAGACCCCCAGCACCAGCCCCGGGTTAGGTGGTGCGCTAGGAGGACTTGCGGAGCTTGAGGCTTGGATTTGTTACAGCAAAAAGGTGCAGAACAAACGGCGGAGGGAAACGGGTGATGTGCAGAGGAAATCGTGAGCGGGCTTCCAAGAGTCCCCTCCAGTGGAGCCACACAGGATCTGACTTGTGACAACTTGTGTGAAATGCCCACTGGGGACGCTCACTGGAAACTCACCGGCCAGGGATTTCACGGGGGGCTGGTCACAGAGGCACCTCCTCGTTGGCACACGCCCAAATTCCAGACTCCCGGCAGGAAGGCTGGTGTTTCTGCATAAACCACGCTGTGCGTACGACAGTTCAGGCCTAGGGAACCACTCAGCAGTTAGGGCTATGGGAACTCTCCCGAAATCCCAGTTCCCAGACACCTGTCCAGGGCCGAGCCTGCACATAGGCCTTGCCCAGGAGGGCGGTCTGAGGCCTGCTGTGTTAACTGCTCTGTTGCACTGGTGAGACAGATTTGAAACCGTCATGCCAACAAATAGAAGTGTCTGTGGGGGATGGTAAGTAGATGGGTCATGTCATCTGTTAGCAAATAATTATTTATTACAACAAGGCAATGAGGATAGGCAGAGAGAGCAAGAGATAAAGTCTCTGCCCTCAAGGAGCTTAGAGTCAGGCTGGGTTGCTATAGAAACATGAGAAATTCGCCAACTGAGTCGGGATATGTCACAACCATTAGCAAGTTCAGGAGGGTCAAGTAGAGCTGTGGGGCGGCATAGCATCACACCACAGAGCTCACACTCTCCAGCCAGACGGCCCGCCCCTGACGCTTACAAGCTGTGTGACTCGGGGAGCATCGCTTGACTTCTCCTCGCCTTAGTTTCCTCCCTTGTAAGATGGAAAAATTCCAAATACCTACCTTATTGGGTCGTGAGAACAAAATGCACTGGGATAGGTAAAGCGCTTGCTCTAAGTGTTAACGTATGTTAATTTGGACTGTTCTCTACGATTGAGCATTCACCCTGTTTGCCAGTGTGTTAATTTCGTTTGATCCTCACAACAACTCTGCTAATAATAAATACTAGTATCTGGTTTTATTGAGGACATCGAAGCCCAGAGAATGTGGGCTACTTGCCCGACATCACACAGCTGAACCAAGGTTTGAATGCCAGGGTAACGGGGCAGACTTTCTCAAACAATGGGCTTTGTGTTGGATGCGGGAAGAGGAGGGTTTGGGAAAGCGATGACAGAGGGAGAAAGCAGTCCCGGCTTGGGGAGGAGTGCGGGTGGAGGGGCACCCAGAGCCGTCCTGGAGGAGAAGGGCAGGCCTGGTCACCGGTGACTTACCATCCACACGGCGTGGTGGTCACTTGGCCCCCCACCCACCAGCGGGAGAGGTGCCCATTTCTGCTCCCTCACCCAAGCGGACCCTGACACCTGAGACTTAGCAGGTACCCCAGGTAAAAGTGGGAAGAGGTTTTTGCTGCTGCCTCCTCACTTCCTGGTTCTCAGCAGAGGCTTCGACAAATTAAGATCGGTCAGATGGGAGTTGTTCTCATTTCGACAGTCGAGTACAGGCTCGTCTCCTGCCGCCTAGCTGGCCTGTGCCAATTACTTTGAGCAAAAGACCTTGAGGGAAGTAACTATGTGACCCACACAATGTAGTCCAGCCTCCTTCTAGTTCTTTCCTCACCTTGTCCCAGAAGACGACTGCCTAAAACATACATATAATTTCACCACTCCCTCGCTTCCCATGTCTTACAAAAGCTCAGCTTGATGGCATGGCATTCAAGGCCCGCAGCGAGCAGATGGCGGCAGCCTTTGTTTGTTACTCGGCCCCTGTGGGTCTCTGCTCTGACCGTACGTAACTTTGTGTTCTGAAGAGGCCTTGTTCTTTGAAGCCCTCATGCCTTAATCCTTGCTGATTTCTCTGCCCAGAATGCCCTTCATGTATCCCTGTACTTTCTGCCCCTCTTTTCCCCATTCCTCTGGCAAGCAAACTCCTGTTTATCCTTCCAGCCCCAGTTAAGATGTTGCTTGCTCTGTAAAGACTTCCTGGCTTCCGTGGGCCTTGCTGGTGACTCCTTTCTGTGTGGGTTCCCTGCACACTGTCATGGTCGGTGTAACCCGTATACTCCTAGAGCGCTGCAGGTGGACCCCCTGAGCCCATCACGCAGCACGTTGCCCATCCTGGTCTGGGGAAGCCGCTCACCGAGGGCTGCTGGGTGAGTGAATGAATGGGTGCCTGAAGATAAGTTGACTATAAGAGTTTCTATTGTCAAATTGGATTTGTGGGTTCTTTGTTTTTTTACTATTTTGTTTTGATTGGTACTAGGTATTGATAAAAGTCATTCTCATAAACCAGATTCGAGAAACCCCAGTGCTCCTGCTTTATGGCTGGGTTGCTACTGTCATGTTTCTTCAGTGTTTGACAGAAGTAAAGCACATTTGTTAGTGAAGGAATTGTCTGATTGTTTATTTTAAATCTTTCGTAGTATAGGAAAAACGGTACTCTCTGCTGGTACTCATTTTCATGCAGTGGTGATGACATGCTGATCTCTCATAGCAAAGGGCGCTTATTCTAAAACGGGTGAAATGTGGTGCTCATTAGGCCAGAAGCAGTCTCAGCTGATCTTTCTGCCGTTCTCTCTCTCTCTGTTTTCTTAGAAAGGTAGTGCCATTGTTAAGTGTGACTTTTTCTCCCATTCCCCTAGCAACTGTCCTATCTGAGTTGACAGTGGCGCCTGCTGCCAGTTGTCTTCAGCAGGACATCAGGGCTGGGGAGAACTTTTACTGGGGTCTCATGCCTCTTCTTTTCTCCTGCTCTAAGACCGTGAGTCCTTTGAAGGCAAGGACACTGTGTCTTCTACCTCTGTGGTCCCAGCGCCTTGATCAGAGCCTGCCACAAAGTAGGTTCTTCAGTTAATGGTTCTTGAATGAAGGAAAGAATGAAGCATGGTCACTCATCCCTGGCTCAGGTCTACACAATAAGAGCGTATGAGGTGGAAAGGTTGTGGGCCACCATTGGGCACAACATTGGCACGAGCGGCCTTGTCGTCCCAAAAGGGTTTGGAATATGCCCGTTATCCTCCTAACCACCTTAAAGCACTAATATTTTGGTTATAACTGAACTATCACATGCCCTCCTGGGAATATGCTCTAAAAGCCATCTGAATTAATCAGAAACGTTTCACCTTTTCTAGAAAGGAATCCGGTTCTGTATTATTAGCTTTTCCTTGGGGACGAGGGTTAAGGTGGCTGTCTAGAAACCAGAACAGACCTCTGTTATTCTCTTCTGCGAGTTCAGAGGATTGTCTGTGGAGGCATGATAGACTATACAGGGGTCCCGGAACAGATCTGAACATAAAATATGAGGCCTGTCTCTTTAAAGTGCAATTTCTTTCTTATTCAGGGGTGGGTTATCTGATCCTGGTCACCCATGGTGACCGGGCTTTAAAGTTTGCTGGTTTGGGCCCAGATTTGAACACATTACTTCCACTAGTACAAAGATGTTCTTAGAGTGGGAACTTTTGTCTATTTTCTCCTGTCTAAAGGGAGATTTGAGACGGACCAAACCTACTGCCTGAAAGATGGTGGTTTCTTCTCACACTGGGTGATATGAAACATTATGGAGGAAGGATGAGGCACCTTCTGCATTTATCCGTGTGGCTCGAAGTTAATTTCCAGAATATTAGCAGATCCTACTGTTAATTCTAATGAAGGATAACGTGAGAGTTTCCTAAGGTATCTGAGGGGATCCTGGTGACCTAAGTAAGTGTTACTCTAAAAACAGTTTCTGTGGTCAAACAAGTCTGAGGAACACTGAGTGTACAGAGTTCTCCAGGTCTGTACGTTGCCGTGTGCCCTGATTATGTTTTCCCAAGCCCTGCTCGCTGTGGAGCCTTTCACCCTTGAATCCCGGGCAAACGCACTTCAGGAAATACTGCCTGATCCCTTGGCTGGGTGCATGACCTTAAGTTTATTATTTACTCCCTTAAGTTGGTACAAAAGATCTCAATTTCCTACATTCCGTTTTTCCTCCTCCTTTTTGAGAAAAGGCATGGGTGTTCTTGCAACACATACTCTCCGCATACTTAGTTGGTCCTTGCAGAGTGTACTCATGTTATTGTTTATGATTCAGTTCCCTCATCCTAGATTGGAAGCTTGGTGAGGGCACCGTTGTGCCTTGTGCATCTTAAAATTCAGCCCCTAACCCAGGTCCCTGCACACAGTGAGAGCTCGATAAATTTTGCCAGTGCGGGGGGGGCGGGGGAGGCTAGGGATGATGACGACAAAGATGAAGGAAGACACGAAGCGATGAGATGTGATAGGAGGTCCACAGCAGTATGATTTTGTCCCTTTTAAAAATTTCAGAGTTACCGAGGTGTAAGTGATGTGACCCTGTAAGATACTGACCGTGTGCACTGTGGTGATTGGCTACGCGGGCACGTGGTACAACAGCTCCGCTCGTCTCGTTCAGGAGCACACGCGTCACCTCACGTATTTGTCTTTTTCTCTTCTTCTTTTGGGTGACATTGTTTAAGTCCTACTCTCTTAGCAAGTTTCAGTTGTACAATACAGTGTTAGAAACTGTAGTCACCGTGTTATACATTAGATCCTCAGGTCTTATTTATCCGAGAGCTGAAAGCTTGTGCCCTTTTACCAGCCCCTCCCTGTTTCCCCACCATGATTTGGTCCTGCTCACTATCTAGAACAGGGGATCAGCACACGTGGCCTGTGGGCCAAGTCTAGCCTTTGCTTGTTATCGTACAGCCCTCGAGAGCTGAACATGGTTGTTAACATTTTAAAGGTTTGTAAAACAAAAAAGGAAAGAAAGAATACAAGATGGAGATCATATATGTTCTACAAAGCCTAAAATATTTACCATCTGGCCCTTTCCAGAAAAAGTGTGCTGACCCCTGGCTCACAACAGGCTCTCTGAGGTGAGGGACCGCTTTTTTGTTGTTTGTGGTTTGCAGTCCGTCGTGGGCGGGTACGTGGGCGGGTACGAACTCCACCGCACAGGTCAGGCTCGCAGCCGTGCTGCGGGCGATCCCGCCCCCGGAGTTCCATCTGAACTGTATACGCGGCTCGGCAGATGTGTTTCTGATTACATGGCAATGTCAAAGTGCTGTAAACGTTTCTACACGCTTGCTCTTGGTTTTTGTACTTCTCTCGTAGCAGGACCAGTAACAGTTCGCGGTCCGGTAGCGGTCTGTGGACCACACTTTGTGCAGCAGGGGCTTGGTGCCCAGTAGATGTGTGTGGGTGTGAGGATAGCTGACTCACGGTGGTGTGAGGCATTTCCTGCTCTGTGGGAGCGCACAGTACCTGTGCTGGAGTGGATTCCTGAGTCCGAAAGCCACTTCTGAAATGATGGTACTGTAATATTCTGTACCAAAAATATCTTCTTTCTACCGAGAGCCTTGATTGGGAGCAGAAAAGAAGTGTAAGAGCCATACTTAACTCTGGAATATTAACCACTTTTCTCTGAACTTTTGTATAAGTCCAAGAATTTCCTCCACATATTTTCTTACTTCAAAACTGAAAAGTCTGATTCCCTCCCTCTTTCTGTCTCTTTCTATTCTTCTTAAATTTTATTTTATT